AGATAGATAGATAGATTTGAGACATACCTCACAAGCGTAGCCTGTTATCCAATTGGAAGGGCCTCTTGTAGGGTTTCTGCACTGTAATATACATGTATCTTGGTTAATTTCAAATTGGTCAGAAGGGGGTGCAAATGTAATGGTGGGCTGGAGGAAATGTCCAGTACCTTTCAGAGAAAACTCCAAAGTTCTCCAGAAGAATAAGAGTCGACCATCTCAGTATGATTGGAATGTCACACTGGAAGACACAAACATAGAGAAATCTTTAAATATCAACTGTAACAACATCATAAAGGTAAATTACTTTAACTGATAACTACTTACAGATGTAAAATTTATTTAACAACTACATAATCACACCAATAATTGGTTGCAAAAATGTATAGTATAGCCTAAAATAAATAAGTACACAGGTAAACTACTCTGCAATAATAAATTGTGAGTACATATATTAAACCTCCACAGACAACTGCCTTGTTGAAGTGGATTTGAAGATGACTTTTTAATTTGACCAGTTTGGCTGGCTTAAACATGCTGGTCAAGCAGAAAAAGAAAATACTCAGCAATGGTGTTGATAAATGGATTGGCACATGGTTTATCTAAAAGCATATTAAAAACACCACATAGACAAATAAACAACATAAAAAACTTGATTTTCACCACAGGGGGACTTTAAACATTTAAGATCAACACTTATTTTTTAGCCGCAGGCGGCTGTCTCGGTCTTTGAGGGTTAAACTTTGCATAGGCCTGTATATCAAAATACAGGACATGTAAATCATTTTTGTTTCTTTGCAGATTGCCTTTCACTAGCTGTTGATTCTTTTTAAAACCACGTATTCATTATGCAATGAATGTAATGGAATCGTGAGCCCTGACTTTTGATCGTTTTATTTATTTTGTTTAAATTTTTTAAAAGATGTGTATATTCTAGTTGCCTATTAAATATTAATCCAGTTTTAGGAGATTTGTTTTCCATCAATATACCCAACCCTAAAGCCAAAGCTTTATGATATATGTTCTGCTCATTTTCTCTTTTTAGATATAATAGTTTAATAGTGAGCCAGTAAAATAAAGTAGTTTTTAGTACTTTAGTTTGCTATATTGTTGCATATAAAAAAAAAACCTTGATGCTTGTTTTCAGAAAATTTCTTTATATTAACTATAATAATTGAAAAATTGAAAAATCTATGAATAATATATACGAATTATATCTTATAGTCTTAATAGCATTTTCTGAAGAGAAAGAGTAAGACATTGAAGTCAGATTTTCCAGTTGTCCCTGTACTTTTCCATGTGTTTTGCATAAGGTTTGTATTTGGGGTGTTGTTGTTATTGTTGTTTTATATATATATATATATATATATATATATATATAAAATAAGATAATCTTTGCATGTGACCTATAAACTTAAGCATATCAAATTTTATAAATGTGCATTAAGTGAACTATCACAATTTAAACCAAGGCTATAGTAAAATAGTAAAATGTAAATAAATGATCACTCTAAATAAGTTTATTTCTTTTACATGTTTTTAACAATTCCATGACATTATATAACACTAAACTTCAGTTTCTGTCATTCTTAATACTCCTTTTCTCTGTTTGTTTTATGTGATATTTTGGGCACAGTGAATTTTGGAGAGAAGGAGAAAACATCAGTCTAATATGAAAAAGTTTGCATTATTGTCTTGCATATAAAAAAAAAACCTTGATGCTTGTTTTCAGAAAATGTCTTTATATTAACTATAATAATTGAAAAATTGAAAAATCTATGAATAATATATGCGAATTATATCTTATAGTCTTAATAGCATTTTCTGAAGAGAAAGAGTAAGACATTGAAGTCAGATTTTCCAGTTGTCCCTGTACTTTTCCATGTGTTTTGCATAAGGTTTGTATTTGGGGTGTTGTTGTTATTGTTGTTTTATATATATATATATATATATATATATATATATATAAAATAAGATAATCTTTGCATGTGACCTATAAACTTAAGCATATCAAATTTTATAAATGTGCATTAAGTGAACTATCACAATTTAAACCAAGGCTATAGAAATTACTTTAACTGATAACTACTTACAGATGTAAAATTTATTTAACAACTACATAATCACACCAATAATTGGTTGCAAAAATGTATAGTATAGCCTAAAATAAATAAGTACACAGGTAAACTATTATGCAATAATAAATTGTGAGTACATTTATTAAACAACCAAAGACAACTATCCTTTCGAAGACAATTTGATGATGAAGTTTTAATTTGACCAGTTTGGCTGGCTTAAACATGCTGGTTGGTCAGAAAATTGCTGGTAATTGCTGTAACACTTGTTGCACTGCTGCAGCTCAGGTAATGTGTCACCTCTCTGAATCCTTATATG